AAATAGCTCGGTTCAACAATATTGATACAAAACACCCTAGAAATAACATCATACAAAACACCCTAAAATTAGTAAAGGATACACTTGTAAAAAAGAATAAATAATTTGTGTCATGATTTCTCTACCAACCATATTTTTTCGTACATAAATAAATTAACAAATTATATTCCAAAAAACAAACAATAAATGCAAATCCCAGTTTTTTTCACTATCATCATACTTGCATCTCACAAATGCAAAATCCCCGACTCTTCCATCCTTTTTTCTAGAATGCATCAAGATAAAAGTAATAAAAACCAATTTAATCTTTTTACCTGAAAAGAAAAGTAGCCATCTTTGAGAACAATCAATAAACACTCATTTCAACAACTAAATATAATACAATTTTAACATAAGATATATCACCACTTAGTTTCCCTATGATTACAAAATTAAAGTTAAGGAATATGAAATTATTATACAATTTATACTTAACCGGAAACCAAAGAAAATCTCTGTAGGAGACAAAAGAAAAAGACTGTAATCAAAAGTTAGGATGAAAAGAAGAAAAGGCTTGTACAAAGGTACAAAAGGAAGGCTAAAATTTTCACCCCTGACCTTGGCAGCTTAAGGGAAGTTGCAATTAGATGCGAAAATAGGAATTATAAGAAGGTGTATTGCAGTAAGAGCGTAAAGAATTATATTGATTTAGAAGAAGAATGGAGTGAAAGCAAAATGTGGTAAGTCAATAAAAACAAAGGAATGGAATATGAAGAGGGATAACGTATCAATTAATGAGGTGGGGAGAGATTATGGTCAATGTTAATATATGGAAGATTATGAGCCAGTTGTCTAAAGTTATGCCACATAGGAAGGTTTAGAGTCAATTGTCTAAAATATGCCATGTGTCATATAGGAGTTTTGTGTTAGTATATAGATGGATGTTCATGGTACAATAACTATGCGATTAATTACAGAAGTATATGGGTTGAGAAAAGAGATGGTTGGATCTAAACAATTTTTTTAAGTTTGATTTTTGTCAGAGGGCAATATGAATATCACATCATGTTCCATTAAAACACTAAAGAGGGTTATACGTTATGTCAGGTGTGGAAGTAGGCCGTGAAAAATGTGCGTCTGCCTAAGCTTCTCAAATAGTGGAATGGCCTGAGTGATCACTGGTGAAAGTATTTCGATCCACTGATTTTGCTGCATCCTCAGTATAATCCAGGGTGCTATGCTTACCTTGTTGTGTGTAGGGATGATAATTTTGACCCTAACCTGCTGACTCGACCCGACCCGTTAATAATGGGTTCATGTCATATACGGGTCGACCCTAACTACCCGTGGATAATTATGGTCAACCCGTAGGATCCGTATATGATCCTAACTACCCCTCTAAGTTTTAACCTATAGATTCTTTTCACATATGATCCTAACTACCCCTTTAAGTTTTGACCCATAGATTCTTTTCACATCCCTTTGTTCTTCCGCTTTCTATTCTCAATTTCTCCTACAATTAAAGCCCTAGCGACAAGAGGGCGGCGACGAGCGACCGATGACGGAGGAGAGCAACGCAGTGGCGATGAACGATGGCGGCGAGGGTGGCAACAGTGAGAACTTTATTGTAACTTCTCTTTTCAACTCTTTCCTTGTCTCATTCTCTTCCTATTTCCTATCTTTCTCTAATTTTCTTAAAATTTCTGTGCAAGTTTGAACTTTTGTTGGTGTGATTGTGAGATGTTTGGACATTCACTGATCAGCTAGGGTTTTGTTTATCTTTGTGCATATGCTTAGTTTCTAGAATTTGGGATGTGCCCATTAATTTTTGTTTCTAATATTTGGTCGCTTTTGGTGTAACTAGACTTTTTGCACCTTTTAATATAAATTTGAGGTCTGTTTGAGATGTTCATCAATGATTTAAGTTAGAAGTTATTTTCAGAGCTATTTGGTGTGCTTGTGATTGTAATTTATTTATTTATGTTATTTTATGAATCTTATATAGTTTTGTAAATGTTTTCCACAATTAATGGAGTCTAATCATACCGGTAATCTTATAGAGAATAATATAGAAATGGATGCATCTAATGAAGAAGAATTTGGGTACCTAGAGTTGATGCATTTCCATGTGAATGCATTAGGTAAGTCTTGGACAAAAAGCAAAGATCATATATGGATTGTTTGTGTTAGAAGGGTCGGATCAGGTGGCATTGACCCGTTTATTGAACAGGTCAGGTCGGGTCAAGCTTAAATGGGTTAGGTCAATTATGACCCGACCTGACCAGTTTGCCACCCCTTATTTGTGTGTCTCCTCCTATATCAGGTCCCAAAGCTGAACATTGCATGAAAATATCTGGAGAGGATGTGACATACTTCATAGTTCATATTGGTTTTTATAACAATGTGGTTGTGCTTATATAAAATGGCCTGACTGCTCCAGTACTATTTGGCCTACTCGTAGAATATTTCAGAATTACACATGACAATAGTTATAAACTTTATAAGCACGCTTGTGAAAATTAGCCAAATCCAAATGCAAATGTATAGATTTTGGGAGTGAAATTTCCCCTTCTTTTAATTTTCTTAATTTGAGCATGGGATCCTCCCTTTTCTGTTCTATCATGTTGTTTGTCACTCTAACCATGCTCATATCTCGGATGGTTGGCAGGGATTTTGTACTCAATGAGTCAACCACATATGTTTGTTTAACAACATATCAGCTAGAATTTTCTTCAAATTCTCAATGAAATAGCCTTCTTCATATGCATACTATTCTATAATGTCATCCAAACCATGCACACATCTCATGAAGATCTAACAGGATCATGAACTCGCATAAGACTATTGTTGGTGAGTAATAAGCATTATAACGCAATTACATCTTCCTTTTTTCTTATTTTGTAGAAGCTGAACGAAAAAAAAGATTACTGTGTTTACGAGCAACATCTTTGAGAAAATTAAAATGAGATGGCTCCTGGCCAAAGGCTATCTGGAATTCAAAAGCAGGTTCTAGGGCTCTACAGAGGTTTCCTTAGAGCAGCTCGTCTAAA